CCCCGGCAGCCAAAGGACGCGCGGGACGGGGGGTTGGCTCAGGCGGCTCAGGCGGCTCAGGCGGCTCAGGCGGCTCAGGCGTGCGGTTGAGGCTGGTGTCTAGTGGATGGGGACCCTGCGGGCCAATGGAGCTGCGGTCAATATTCACGGAAACGTGCAATAGCAAAGGGAGCGACACAGGGTACAGTGACCAACACCATATCGTTGTCCATTGTCATGGGGGGACACACTGCTTCATGTGGGTGTGGGTCAAAACTACTCCACCAAGGGACCGCAGGTTTTAGTCCTCGGTTCCAATTACCAGGGTTCCATTTTGGGGTTTCCCTATTTTTGACCCACAGCCATGTGCAAAGATTCTCTCCGCTGGGCGAGTGGCCAGGAAGAGCCCTTGCCACCCGAAGACTTCGGCACCTTGCTAGCAGATTGCTACTCTGGAAGCCAACGCAGTCCGCAAAACTGGGCAACTGGCCAAAGCAGCTGCTTTTGGCATTTCTTCGTGGTGCCATGACATGGGTATGGGTCAAAATTAAACCACCAGGATATGGACCGCAGGTTTTGGTCCATGTTTCCACTTACCAGGGTTCCAGTTGGGGTACCTATTGTTGACCCATACCCACATGAGTTTTTTCTGACGTGAACCGTGAGTCGTGTGTCTGACGATTGGGATGCTCCCTGACGACTTGACCTCTCACAGCCCTTCCCTAGGGATGGTGCCTGCGCCGGTTCCACCCCGGAACTTCGGCAGCCCGGCGCCGCCGTGCCCCGGTGGCAACTTGGGCCGGGTCAGCCGGGAGGGAATTAGATGTCCTCCCGAAATCCGGACATGCACAGCCGACGGCAGACATGCTTCAGCATTGGGAGCACTACTTTGTCGCAAGCAAAATATCCAGCGCAGCAGGCATGTTCGCCACGTTCTGAATGGCGGCGTTTCATAGAACACCAACGAGTTGAACAAGAGTCTCAAATACAACTTTGCAAGGCCGGGCGCATCACGGAAGTCATCTGGGGCAACCACAGACCCAACCCGGAAGCTGACCCGACCCCATCCAGGACTCCCCCGAGTCCACTTAAAATAGCTCTGCATAGCAAGGCCCAAAATATTTATTGCCATCACCTCCGCTGGGAAACCAACAACACCAACTGACTGACTGGCTGGCTGTCTGGCTGGCTGACTGGCTGGCTGACTGGCTGCCTGACTGACTGACTGACTGACTGACGAACACAGAAGCATGCACGCACATGCACCAGCAGAAGTGGCCGGCTGGGCTCTTCCGGCATCCCGAGGCCGAGTGGGGCCTCCATGGGCGGCCCTCCACCCTATGGTGGAAAGGCCAGGTTTAGGCTCTAGACAATGCCCTGAGGGTTATGCTCCGGCTGTGGGGAGCAACTGTCTCAGTCCAAGCTGAAGTAAAATGTGCGACCTTTCGTCAGGGTGGCGGCTTTGGCAAGGGCGGCAGCAGGCGGGGTCACGGGGGGCAGCGGGCGAAGTGCAAGCATCCGCTGCCCATGGTTCGCAAAAAGCACGCCACGATTATGCGTTTGATGTGCGTTTTGGCACGAGAGGATTTGCCGGCAGTTCCAGTTTGGACGCTGCAGCTGGGGTGCGGAGCCCAAAAGGACTCAAGATGCCGACAGGTCAGACTGGGCTGTTGGGTCCTTTAGGCGGCTTGTCAATGCTTGTGAATGATTGTAATGGTGATGATGGGTGGGTGGGTGGGTGGGTGGGTGGGTAGAGCCCAACACTTGCTTTTGTCCATGCCACTCACTTCGGCAAACAGGCTACTTCATGGCCCGGAAGGTCAGCCATATTTCTTGGTCAGACAGCTGGGGGCTGGGCTGGGGATTTGCGCTTGGCCCAGGTGAGAATTGCAGGTTCGTGCATGAGCGGCAATAAGCCTTGCACGGCCGGCCTGCGGCCTTGCACGGCGGGGGGCGGAGCGGTTATGGTGAAAAAGCGGTCGACTCGCGGCACGACACCGAGTCACCGGCGGACCATGGCAAGCGTGTCTGGCAGATGGTTTGATGTTCAATGCTCTGCGAAATTCTTGCAAACACAAGATGGCGAACTGGTGCTTGGCCCAGCCTTTACGCGACAGGCGGTAACTTGAAAAGGCAGACTATTCTTTGTGACACATGGGACAGTTGACTGAGAGTTTGGCGATGAACTCATGTCTCCTGCCAGCTGTTTCAAGGCCCAGCTTTTGATTCCATGAGCGAGCCGGCAAATGAGATGAGGGCGCCGTTGCTTCCGGAGAAGAAGGTTGCAGATGAGCGGCACGAGCGAACCGGCTCAGGCCGTGTGCACTACTTCCCTTTTGGGGCTAGCTTCGGGACTCTATGAATTGCCAAAACAAGCATAAACATGCTTGGCCGCGTGCCCTTTGCTGTAAACAGATGAAGTGCAGCAAACTAGACAGTTGCTGCCTGGGATATTCCGCGTATGTCGGTTGCTTTCTGGCTTCACACTCCGAGAGGCACTCCTCTGTCAACCGCGCTGAACCTGGCAGCAACTTCCATGGGCACGGGCCTGTTGACCCTGCCGCACACCTTCGCCCGCTGTGGGCCTTTGGTAGGCACCGGGCTGCTGGCAGTGCTGTCCGTCACCACAGACGTCACTTTGATCCTTTTGGTGAAGATGAGCCGCGCGCTTGGGGTGCACACCTTCGGCGCGCTGATGCGCAAGCTCTTCGGCAAGGGCGGCTCGGCGGTCTTTCAGCTCACGCTGATCTCCGTGCTGTTCCTGGCGCTCACAGCCATGCAGCGTGTTGTGCTGGACCTCCTTCCGATTTTTCTAGAGTCCATTTGCGGCGTGGAGCACGGTACGGTGAAGCCCCTGGCGCCGCTTGGCGGCACGCTGAACGGTGTTCAAAGGTTCGACACTACACCTGCAGACCAGATAGCCCCAATGCTCGACCATCTACAGAGCCTTACTCCAAAGCCTCCAGTTTCGTCGGCGTTGAGGTTAATGTCAGAGTTTGGATGTTTGCATCGTTGCATGACAACGTCGACGCATGTTGTGTGCTTGTAGAAATTTGTATCCCCTGTTCGGTCGGAGGAGCACATGGCATAAAATCCTCCTTGCTTCCACCTTGTTCTAAGAGGAATGCTTCCACATGAATGGCCTTACGATTCGGCACCTCGAGGCTGAGTATGGTGGTCAATCTATTTGTCATCGCCGCCTGTTGCTCCAAGAATTACCATTCTCTTCGCTTCACCAGCGGCGCGGCGCTTTTGTGCCTTGTGCCCTTCGTGCTGGCCCTTTGGCGCAACACGCTCAGACCGGACAGGCGCCAATCCGCGGTGCAGTGAGCGGTGCAGTGAGCGGGAGCGTAAAGCTAGCGACGTTTGAGTCAAAGACTTTGAGGGCCTTTGACATTGCCAGGCTCACACTGGGAACGCTGGGGAACAGAAGGGTAAGCCATGACCCATTCTTCAGGAAGGGCCTCAGGTGGTAGATTCAGACGTTTGGCCATGTCTTTACCTGGTCCCAAGACACATGGGTGTGGCTCAAAATTAAACAGGAGGGGCAAACCGCAGGCTTTGGTCCATGTTACTTACCAGGGCAACCCATTTTGGTTCCGGTTTTTTGAGCCACAGCCACATGCTCATCCCTCACTAAAGGCATTTGCTCGCCTTGGACTGGGGTGCATGGCCTGGAGGCCTGAGCCGAGACCCACCTCGGAGTCCATCTCGTGGGAGGGGTTCTTGCTGGCCTCTCCCATCTTGGCGTCATCGCTGGCGGGTGGTCACTTTAGTGTCATGGCTGCTTGTCTGCGTTCGGAAGGCTTGAAAGGATGCAGCTTCAAGCACATTTGCTCGACTGCAGTTGCAGTTAGTCACACCCCCACTTAGTCCCCCCACTTAGTTTCGCCGCATTCAGTACATCATGTTTGCTTCTTGTTGGCGCTGCGGCAATATGTTGGACGTTTGCAAGTGGAATGAGATCGACAAATCCGATCAACAACGTGGCTGTACACATGCCAAGGACATGGCAGCTCAACTGCAGCCGCGATACAAGGAGCCTTTTTTCAGCGCGGGTGTGGAAGGTTTCTCACCTGCAACGCAACTTCTTACTTCCATGCATTCCGTTCACTTGTGACGCATAACCCATCAAGTGACGTCAGCTTTGCCCTAAAAAAAAGAGGACGAGGTCGTGGTAATCGTTGTGCATTCTAATCCTGCCATGGCATCCACAGGAGTCCATCTACTCGGTCATCCACGTGGTTTTCTTGATCGTGATCCCCTTGTGCTACGTCTCGGTCTCCTGGGCAGGCGTCGAGCTCTTTGGAGCAGACACGCCGGAAGACATCCTAGTGGAATTCAAGGCGCCAGAGCAACCAATCCATGGACCGCGCCCAAAATCGATCTAACAGCTCTTTTCTCCAGGATGTCTTCAGTGAGAGCTTGATCGTTGGGTCAACGCGGCAAACAATCCGTACCGGAAGCCGCACCTGGAGCCGTCACGTAGGTCCAAGCTCAAAACTTGTTGCATGAGAAAGCTGCGGGAATTACACCGTCGACCTTAAAAACATGTCTATGATATTGCTATCATTTCTTCATTCTTTTCTTTTTTTACATGGGCCATTGCTATGGCCCATGTAAAATTCTTTATACTTGTACTTCATCTTCTTGCTGGTGCTCAGCAGGGAATGAGGGAAGGAACTTCATACACCATCCAACTGGTGATTTCCTAGGGGACCAAAGCAACTGGGTTCATCCCGTCATTCCCCGATTTTGTACCAGCGAGTCTACATGGCTGTGGGTCATAACCTAGGGCGCATGAACACCCATGTAGCACCTATTTTGATGTTCACCAGGGGTACAGGGTTTTGACCCACAGCCAAATCAAGGGTTTCACCAAGAGTGCTTTTGCTGCCACTCGACATGCTTATTGTGATTATGATTATCATTATGGTTATTATTTCGGTCGATGATATTTCTATCTTCTCTGCATACTTGTGCAGGGCTCCTTCAAAGATACATTTTGCCCATTTGAAACATGGCTTTTTCCACCCAAATAAAAGGGACACCACCATGTACAAGGCAATGTTCAGGTGTATAAGGTAAGGATCCCTGTTGTACATCTGGTACATTTGCTGCTAGCGTCTGATAGCGAACTGCCAGGGGGACTCGGCGATGGAGGTGGCCAGAGGTGTGCTGAGCTTCACCAACGCGCTGCGCATGCCGCCCCTCGCACCATTTTTTCAATTAAATTACTATTTTTTATCCATCAGTATGTAAAATCAACTTGAAGTGCTGGTAGTATTGCTTATATATATATATATACATATGCTACCCCCCCTTGAGATACTCAGGTTTTTGGACAGAACTGAGGTTTTTGGCCGACTGGGGGTAACAAGTGCCTTGAGACTCTGAAATGAACTGGACACTCAACTCCATGCAAATTCTAACCAAGCAGAAGTTAAGCTCAACGTTGATTAGGAGTAGCGAGTTGTGTGACCGTCACATTGGCGTGCGCGAAGTGCACTTAAAGTCACATTGGAGTATGCAAAGTGCAATTTGGCAGCTCCAGCTCCAAAAACACAACTGTTCAGTACAGGAGTAGTGCGCAAAGTAGGTTTTGGCAGCTTCAACGCGTCTGTAGCAGCCCTATTATTTGGTGTTTATTATTTTTGTTTGGCAGCGAAATTCAGCAAAACATCAACTCGGGGAAAAGGAACTCATTCCTAATTCATGTCCTTGCGCAGTTGCATTTACATGTTAACTCGAGTGTTGTGCATAATTCCTGACATGCTAGTTCAGCCTAATTGAAACATATGTTGCAAAGCAACTATCCCACGTGTGTGTGTGTGTTGCTTGTCTAAGTTGGTTCCATCATCGCCACTAACAACTATTGAAATTCAAGTAAGGGAAGAATATCCAGTTAAAAAAAGCTTTCGAGTTCAAACCAAATTCAAGTTTACTCGTTTGCAGTTTCTTGTGCATTTCAAAAATCAACTGGATCAGAAGATAGCTATTGTCATGGCCAATTGAATTTGGAGTCAAACTCAAATTTTGAAAGGGTTATTGTCCTTCGACCTCCATGTGGTTTGACCCAAGCAAGAACTGAGCCAAGCCAATGACAGGAACGTGTTTTCAATCATAGATCCAATTCTTTGCATAAATGCTGTAAAACGCAGTGTTTTTCAGCATTTGCTCAGATCGTGTTGCCCTGGATCGAACATCGAATATACAAGATTCCACAAACATATGCTTAGAATGTACTCAATCCTGGTCCAAAAAACTTGACAGTTTGTTCTAGACTCATCAAGGTTTCGCCCCCTGCATTGAAGATTGAAGATCTACCAGATTTTCTATTTGAGAATCTTCCATTCTGGCCAGCCCTCAAGTCCACACAAAAATGTAAAGGTGTCAGCAACATTCTTCCCCCTGGCCAATTGCAGGCAGTGCAAGTGCACAGCCACATTTTGATTCTGACAACGTGCACATACGTGCACTCCCGGTCTGCCTTTTGGATTCTTCAAATCCGCACTTAAGGCAATCCAGGATCTGGATGGGAGATTCAAGATTCTCTGACAACTCTTTCTGAAATTCTCCAAATATGTACTTAGAGTAATCCAGGATGTGCTAGCACGTGCTAGCACATGGATTGAAGATTGAAGATTGAAGATTCTCAGACCACTTGTTCTGGAAATCTTCAATCCATCCTGAGGACAAACTGGTATGTGCTAGCACGTGCTAGCGCATCCTGGATTGAAGATTGAAGATTGAAGAATCCCAGAGAGAGTTGTCAGAGAATCTTCAATCTTCAATCCAGGGTGTGCTAGCACGTGCTAGCACATACCAGTTAGTCCTAAGGACGGATTGAAGATTTCCAGAACAAGTGGTCTGAGAATCTTGAATCTTCAATCTTCAATCCAGGACGTGCTAGCACGTGCTAGCACATCCTGGATTGCACTAAGTACCGATGCTAGAATTTAAGTCTAAAAAGGAGTGCATTTTTTAGAGCCTGATTTTAGAAGCTGGAACGTGTGTTGTGCATGCATTTTTTCAGCCAAAATGTCAAGTTCTGTCCAAAAACCTGAGTATTCCAGGGGGGTACCATACATATATATATATATATATACACATATATATATATATATAATGATCAAAGGGTCCGGTAAACGTGGGATGATCATCAGGGAAACCAAAAAACTGATTTCAGGAAAGCCATCAAAAAAGCAAACCATGGGGGGGTTGGTGAAAATCAAACCACCAGGATATGCTGGCTGTAGTTCTTTCCCCTTTTTGGGGTTACCTATTTTTGACCTACGGCTGCGAAAGCAAGAAGACCACGAATTGCCAAAGTACCCACGTTTTTGTGAACCATTTGCGAATGACGAGCATTCCCTGCCTCCCCGCCCCCCTCCACTGGTAGTTCTCCAAGTTTGTGTTTTCCTGAAGCAGACAGCTCTTGTTTCCCTTTTGCCTTGCTTGTCCTCGCGGCCGCTGTTGTTGTTGGTCAATCCTATTCTACCTCAAGCTCCCTTTGCAGCATTTCTGAGACGTTAGCAGCCCAGTTTTGCGCAGACTTGAGAGCCCATTTCAATTTTCCCACCAAGCAAACATGCGGATGAAACAGCATCGGGTTGTAAATGGACGACATGTGGCATGCTGCCTGCCATGCCACGTCTGACTCCGCCTTTGTGTGCCCGAGCGGCTAGCTTTTGGCAGCTACTGGTAGGCCCAAACATCTTGTTTGCAGACAGAAACTCACCTCTACCCAGCTACCAGAAATGTGTCATTCAAGCGATCCTCTCTTGTGATCGCGTTTCACGGCCCGGTCCGGACCTTTGACATGTAGCCCCTTCCTCTTCCTGATCGCAAGTCATATGTTTGCACGTCCCAGGCTGTCAAATCTTAGTGCTGGCATGCGTCACACTGCGCTGGTCGCTTAGGCTGATTCTGATGCCGCTGCACACCCTCGTTGTTGACACTTTGCACCTCCTATCTGCCAGCTCCAAGGAGCCGTTGCAGCCGTTTTTCCCCTTGTCGCTTGTCATACTGCACTTTTTGTAGGTGTACAACGTGACATGTTCTACAAGGTATCTACAAGAACTGGTGCTTCGCCCAGAAAAGAAGTGGCTGCCCCCAATGGGATCCCATTTAGGGGTCGGTGAATTCATCACCCATTTTCGATCCTTTTTTAGTGGTTGGATTGGGATGTTCACCGGGGGTACGATTTGGCTTTTGACCCATGGCCAAGCGTTTTTTCCCGGCCCACATGAGCCACAATCAAAACCCGGGTAGATGAAGGTTAGTAAGGGACGAACTCAGCCAGAAACAGCTGCGGCCGCCTTCTTAGTTCTTTACATGGTTCTGGGTCGACCCTTTTAATACAAGGTTTTGATTGTGACTCACATCTCTTGACAGGAGCACGAGCCTCCGCTGCTGCAAGCCTGGCGGTTGGTCTTCGGCATGCCGCTGCTGCTGCTGTCCTCGGCGGTGCTTGCGCAGTGGCTCAGCACCTTGGCCAGCATCCTGGGGCTGCTGGGTGGCACCGGCGGGGTCATCGGCTGCTTCTGCGTGCCCGGGGCGATGTACCTGAAGGTCCACTACAAGAAAGAAGCGCCGCTTCTTTCGGTCAAATGGCAGTTTGCCAGTTTTGGTTCGGGAGTTTGGTCGTCGCTTGGTGGTTTCGGGTCGGCAAGCGCGTTCTGATTTACCGCAAGCGGCCAAGGAAGTCATCTTCGGCTTATGCCATTTGTGCGGCCATGGCGATTGTTATTGGACTCGCAGTGGTTGTATCGTGCTGCTTATCTTGGGTGCAGTGAGCCTGTCCCCAGTCTCTTAGCGGAGTCTGTTAGTCGACGCTGATGCTCCGCACGGCTTTCTATGCGTCGGCAGTTGTGTTCCAGCGTTCTTTCCAAAAGGAAAGAAGCCGCTCGTGCACAGAATCAGAGGCCTGCATGGATCAAAGCGCGAGTGCGCCGCTCTTGCCGAGCAATGTGAATCCGCACCTGGGGATCCTTATGTATCCTTATGGGCCTTATGGGGTCTCAGGACAGGATGCAAACGCTGCCTCAATATTCCGCGCTTGCCATGAGATGGCGCATGTGCCTGACCTTCCGGCTCTCAGCTGCAACTGCAACTTGTTCCGCTCGCCTTCGCCATGACGAGGCAATCAGCGGAGGCGGGTCCAAAGTTCCACACAGTTCCCTTCAGTCGAGAAGCGCGCGATGAGCGGATTTGATGCGATCCGAACAAAGAGGCTCAATGACTAGTGTCAAAGGTCAGAGGAACCATCCCGAAATTGTTTAGGTTGCCTGCCTTGGAGCTGATTTGGCAGCTTGTTTGTTTTTGCAAATCCTGCTTGGGGCAACAAGCGGTCAGACATGATGGTCTCTGCCTGCTTTTGGAGTCAGCAAGCTCAGCAGCCAGTCTGGCCAGAATCTGTGCTTGCTTCCCAACATTCTACCACTTCGACGCTAGTCTAACTAGGAAGCTTCTGTTCCAGGGAGCAGTCTGAGCGACCCCAAAATGGCAGTTTTCCTTTCGGCTTCCCCAAAATCGTAGTTTTCCTTTCGGCCTTCCTTTAAAGTTGGACAGAAAAGGGGGGGGGTTCCCTCTAAAAACCGCCCCGTGTGGGAAAACGAGTCCATGGTGCCAGAGTCGGTGAGTGACATCGCGGCAGGCGCGGGCCAGGCTGGCCAGCATGGCGGTCAGCCTCTCCTTTTGGTTGGGAGGCGGGGACTTGGGGGGGAGTTTGCCTCAATGGGGGGGTGGGGGGTAACCCTCAAATGGCTTGCCCTTTCTTTTAAGGGAAACGTGGACGAAATGCTGTGGGGGTCCAAGAATCGGGTCACCCTAAATGAGCCACTAGCTCAAAACCCGGGTCAGTGAAGGTTAGGGACGATCCGCTTGCCATAAATAGCTGCGGGAATCCGCCTTCTTAATCCTTTACATGGTGCTGGGCAGACCATTTGATTACCGGGTTTTGAGTATGACCCTTGCCCTGGAAAATGGAAACGTGGACGCAATTTTCTGCGGTCCCTATGCTGGTGGTTGAATTTTGACTATCCAGAGATCTTTCAGAGCTTTGCAAGCGCGACAACCGTGCAGCCTCACGAATCGTGGCATCTAAAACCTCCCCGATCTTTGGGAACTTTGTGCAATCCGGGCCGTGACTCGCGAGAGCGCAGAGGTGTCAGCCTGGTAATCCTCAAATGCCCAAGCCTGAGTTGTATGAAACACGGCCGACCAGGAACGCTTCTTTGATTGTCGTCTGAATCGCAATTTCAGAGGCCCAACATGCCTGCGGGGCTTCGTGTGTACCTGTTCATTTCCCATGGTGGCTCCTTGCTTCGGGCCACGAGGTGTCCCCCTCCATTGATCAACTCGGATGATTTCTGCTGGAAGCTGTAGGGTTTGTGACTGCTAGTCAAGAGAGGGGATTCCTGAAATGTTTGCTTGGGTGCTGGCAGGGGGTGCGAGAGGGTGGTGCGGTTGAAGTTGAGGGCGCACGAGTGATTTCCGCGTACTGTCAAAGGGTCCTTCTTAGGTGCAGGTGCCTGACTTTTTGGTACAGGCAACGGATGCTGTGTGAAATGTTTGCTCGCATGTTACAGTTTCTTGGCTGCTTCTTCCAGGTAAAGCCGGGGTCAGCAGTCTCCATGTACCATTCATGCCAGAATCACTGTTCGGTGAGATGTTCACCTTAGACCACTTAGATTTCAACACGTTTGGCCAGTTGCCCCTTGCCAAGCCACATCACTGCCCTCAGGCATCGTCACCTTGATCAATAAGATGTGAGCAGTTTCCTGGAAGCCACGTTTTGCATCACTTCCCCGTGTTCCGAGACCCGCCCGGACCGTGGGTTTCAAAAGCGCTTGCTTAAGGCCTAGCCTACTTCATCTCTGGCAGCGAGCTGATCAAGGCCTCCGTCTTTGAGTCCCTTGGAGACGTCATGAGCAGCGCCATCCTAGCAGTCACACAGATGACGCTCAGGCACCCAGCGGAGTAAGACGTTGTACATTCGTGTTGTCAAAAATATGGGCCCTTTTGGGACCCATTTTTTTTGGCGCCGATTTTAATTAGGAGATACGAAAAAGGGCCCCCATTTTTGACAAAATCTTCATTTCTGGAACAAACCTATTATTCCCTCCTGGCCTCGTAGTTTGTTTACTTTCCGCGCAGCGAGGAAAGTCCGCGACGAGCGAGACATGCACCTCTACCCCACGGGGAAGAAGCGCTTCACGCCCCTGGGCATCCTCTTCTTCTCGGCCTTCGCGGTGTCCACGATGATCAGCCTCGTGATCGAGAACGTTGAGAAGCTTTTTGGGCTGGCGCCTCAGACTCTCAGACGAGCTCTCGGGCATTCTCAGACATGCTCAGACGAGCTCTCAGGTTCCATGTTTTTTTTTGTTTTTCACGGGCAGGGCCATTTGTGTGCAAAGGTTCCATGTTTTTTTTTTTTTTTGGTTTTTAACCGGCAGAGCTATCCGAGTGCAAAGGTTCCTTTTTTTTCAAAGGCAGGACCATCTGTGTGCACAAGCAGAGACCGCCGATGTTAGGGCAGGAGAGGCCGATAGGCATTGCCCCGCCTTCAGGCTGTCCGATGAAGAGGCGCGGCGACCTGCAGCTTGTTGGCTTGCGACGTTGGAGGGCCTAAGTACTCCAAGGGCCCAAGGCATCGGTCGGGCGTGAGAACTTTTTGAGAGCAGGGAACTTTAGGGCAGTTGGGTCCAGGTACTCAACTAGGTCCTCCAGTAGAGAGGATAGAATAAGGGGACCCTTGTTTCTGTAGTCTACTCTGTATGGCACCATAGCTGTTTGGGACAAGTTGGGCAAGAGCTATGTGCTATAGGCTTGGGAAGCATTCAGCTCTGCAGGCCTCTAACATGACAAGTTCAATGTGTGAGGAGAAGAAACACACCACACATTGCAGTCGGCTTGTCCTTGCTTTTTCGGTGCCTTGCCAGCTGTGAATCCTTAAAGTCCGTTTGGAGCTTCAAAGATGTGCAACGCCATTTCGTCAGTTTCCTGCAAGTTGATCTACCAGGCAAAGCTAGGCCTTTCTGGAAATCCTGGATTGCAACACCTAACGAGCACAAGTCGCAGCGATACTATTTCAAAGTTTGGTGGAGGCAGGTCCATGCTGGGTTGCACGTGTTGCCATCTTTGCTTTTCCGAGCTGATGTCCTTTTCAGGTTTTTATCTGCCAACTGCAGGCTTTTTATGTGCAAGCAATGTTGGGCTGGTTGCGGACACGTGCTCAGTGTTCGCTCCGCAGGAGCGGAGATTGCTGCTGAGAAGAGTCTTTGATGAACAGCCCAGGCGGGTTCCCTCATCAAGTGACGAGGAAGGACGGTTCAGTCGGTCTGTCAGTCAGGAAGGTGGTCTGTCGGTCGGTACCACTGAACCCACCATGCACCCAGACTCAAATTCGCTCGCCTCGCCCTAAACCCACAACCTTAAACTGACCTGAGCAAACTCTGCATCCACCCTAAACCAACCCCAAGCAAACCCTAAACTGGCTATCCCAAAACCCGCCAACC